ACCCAAACAAGCTTCTCATCAGGATGAACTTTTTCCCCAATATACTTCTGTACATTAAAAAGCAGGGAAATACCCATCACTATGCTAAAAAAAATGTTGTGATAGCATTATATGAATTTTAGCAATGAAACAGAAATTTTAAAGCAGTGATCTCACTCCAATACTCACCAGTACACCTATATTCTGAAGCGGTTGTATGCTTGAGGAAACAATATTTGCAGCCTATAAATCAAATAATAAATACATTGAGGATTAGTTAATCAGAACAGAACAGGATGGAAAAAAAAAACAAAAAAAATTGAGAAAGTAGAAGGAATGAATGAATAGTTCTGCTAACCTAAAGTTTTATTACTTTAACATGTTATTCCCTTAAAGCCACATAAAGCACTTCAACTAGAGCAAGGGTGTTCTAATGATATCATTTTCCATGTAAAATGACAGTTGCATGTACGTGTTGGACCCGCTAAGGTCCATTTTCAGACTTTCAGTAGCATTGCTATAACCTATACTCCATCCTCCCAAGAATTCCCTTATCTTTCAATAAGATCCTTATCTTATCTAAGAAATGAAAATACCACAGAAGGTGCATTTCTTGATCACAAAAAATCACATATATACCAACAAGTGGATTTGAGCACCGAACATCAAAGATGAGAGGTCAAACAGATACCACTAAGCTTAGATCACCGATTTTCTGTTGCCAAGCAGTCCAAAGAATTCCTGTGTTCATTATTTTGTGATTGAGAACCATTTGATCTCATTGTACTCCTCACATGAATATAATCAAGTCGTTTGAAAGTTTAACTTTGACGATAGTTATATTGGTATGGTTATTAGAATCGTACAATTCATGATTCGATATGATTCATGATTTGATTCGCAATTTGACAACAATGGGTAACCTATTCAAAAAAATACAAGCGAACTTGGTATGAGGAATATCCTTGTGGAAAATGACTACCATTGGTGATTAATTTGGCCAATAACTTTTCATAGTGTCCGTGGAGGCAACCACACCCATGCATGAGGTGTCGGATTCTGTCGAAAGAAGAGATTTCTACCCTTATTATGATTTATATAAAGAGAGGCTATTAGCATTTGAAGCAACTAACATGCGTACATGCTGGTTAGCCCAATTCAACTAAATTTGCTAAAAAATGAGTGGGCTTGTGAAGAGAACATTTGAGCTTATGATGTGTATATGACTCTTTAGGCATGTCATTGACCAATACCAAGATAGTAATCACCTCCATATAATTGACAAGACCTTTAGCAAGCAATATAGCAACCCAACATTTGTAGGATATTTTAATTAAATTTTCCTAGTTTAAACACCTTCAACTGTGAGAGTAATAAGATGCATATAGTACAACTCCATAACAATATAATGTTAACTCTGTTGTCACATAATCAATTTTAAGTCAACTAGCGTTTCTTCACCAGGCCTAAATTTTCTAGCTTATTCCTCATAAAAATTGATTTGTTACTATATTCGGTTTGAATAAAGTTTGCTAATATTAGTTGTAACTATATTTGGTTTAAATAAAGTGTGCTAATTTTAGTGTGAACTCGTAGAAAATATGACAACATAAAAATTATGCAAGCAGTGAAATACTAGCCTTTCCAGAGATGCTTAGGTTCAAACACATTGAATCCAATAAATATCATACTGGTGAATGGAAAAGAGCTAAAAAATGTTGTTGTAAATAATAAACAACTCATATCAATTGATCAAGAAAATAAGAGATTACATGCATTATACCTGGTAGTTGATGCCTCTTCTTTGAAGATCACGAGGCAACAATGGATGTTAAGGATACTTCTCTTCCAAATACTGTAAATTACTAAGCACATGTTAGAAATGTTGAAATTTTTTAATAAAATCAAATCCAATGGGGTGAAGACAATAAAGGTCCAACCACTCACCATTAAGATTGCAAAAGAGTCAGAAAGCACAATGTCCTCATCCACCAACGCCGGCACATAACCAATAGGTTCCATTGCATTCCATCAGCCACATCAGCATTGAACTGCACCACAATCTCCCTGAAATAAGAGATTGTGAACTTGTAACAAAGCATGCAAATGGGACAAATTTATAGATCTTGAAATTTTAGATCAAGATCTTCTCAGAAAATGTACCGGATGGTCACATAGGGACTTCAATTAACAATTAAGAAGTATAATAAATATGCATAGTCCTAAAATTAGTTGCTTCACTCTAATTTCTTGATTTAAATGAAGTGTCAGGAAGAATGAAACTATGCTATGTTACAAATGGAAGCAAATATGGGGGTTCATCTAATCAATGTATCGGTTCTTTTGTACTATAGAACTTGATCAGTGTTGTTGTAAAACTTCATTGATATCGTTTAATAACAAAAGAAAAATTGTAGCTTTTTTCTCCTGCTCTAGTCTCTGTCAAACTTATCCTCTCTTGCAACTTTTAATTAATAGCATAAATATATACGTATATATATATAAACAAATCAATCTCTGCAAAAAAAAATTGCAAAAATGAAAAACATATAATTCCACCTTATAAGCTTTACTTCTTATCACAAATGGAAAAAGGTTTTGACCATTGTACTAATTGATAATATCAACAACGAAGAGTTGCTACCTGGTGGTACGTGTTTCGTCTTGAGCATGGCGAGCAATCTTTTCTTCAACACTCTAAAACATACTAAGGACTTCAAATACCATCTATAATCTTAGAGTTAATTGTTATCTGATATGCAGGTAATCACTGAATTACCATTCGTGCTTGTTCAAACCGTCTTTTTCAGTCTTATAGGGCATGTTTGATTAGAAGGATTAAAGCATGGGATTAGGATTATTAATCCGTGGGCCCAATCATCCTATTTCCTCTTTGACATTTTGGTTTAGGACTATTAATCCAATGGATAATTAATCCAACAAATTTGTAGGATTATTAGTAATGGGGTAGGGTTTGCCATTCGCTGATTATGACGGGGATTGAGCTGCCTGGTTAGCTCGCGGGGTCCAGGGGGCAGCGCCCCTTGACGGGTCCAGGGCAGCGCCCCCGAAGCAAAATGCAAAAATACATTCAAAGTTGCATGTCCGCTCAAGCGGACATTCCCCTGCTCGAGTGGAGATTAGTGAGTTCCAGAAGTATGCGTGCCTGCAAAAATACTCTGATCCGTGTTTTCACGCTCAAGCGTCGAATTCCCGCTTGAGCGTACATCCTGGTTTGGAACACGTCATATAGTGTCCCCGCTCGAGCATCCATTCCCACGCTCAAGCGGACCTTGCGATTTCAGATTCTATAAATTTGCATGTTGCTCCAAATCTAAGGTTACGCCTCCAAATCTTCTTCTTGGGTTCTAGGGTTTATATCTGGGGCTATTTTGCTAGTTTTCTTTGATGTTTCATTGAGTATTCAACTCATGGTTTAAGGAGGATACATCAAAGGATTGTTTGTTTGTTCTATACAAAAGAGAGAGTTATTCTTTGGTGGATTCTGAAGAATTCGAGCTTGAATTTTGGTGGATTCTGGAGTGGCTCATCGTCAAGACAATTCCGAGGTGAAGACGGGGCTGGAGAGGCACATAGGGTTGGTTCAATTCGGGCGTGAATTCACTAGGTAATTGAGAGTATACCTGTGTAATTCTTTTATATCTTCTTAGTGGATTGTTTTGTGGCTGTTGCCATGGTTTTTTTTTATCACAATTGGAGGTGCTCCAATTGTGGTTTTCCACGTTAAAATCGTTGTGTCGATTTGTCTTGATTGTTTGATTGGGATTGTTTTATTGCTTGAAATTGATACATAATCACAAATCAATATCTAGCGGATTTCTAGATTTTTCATATAAATTTCGCAATTCAACTTCAATTTCAAGGCCCGAAACTTCTTCAAAAACACTTTGAATTCACAATTTCCAATTCAAAAAAAATCATGAGTTTAAAACAACCTCAAATTGCCATGAAAAATCAAACCCTCACTTTATTATGTACATGTATCTAAATGTATAAAACATACAAGTGTGTCCTCTAAAACTCAAGCTTCCATGGAATTCCCTCTCAATTGAAAGACCCATGCAAGAATCAAATGGATAAAACAAATTTCCATAAAAATCATGCCATGCATGTAGAATTGGGAGCTAAAACACTCATTCTTCATATATGAACTCATGCATGTAACAAGCTTTTCATTACACGAACCACTTCAAATAAGTTCATATTTTCTTGCCTAATCTTAAATTCTTTAACTTAAGGGCTAATTCTTCAACTCATTCAATTCATGAAATTAAGGAGAAGAATCCTTACCAAAAGGGAGTGAATTGTGAGGGTAGAGTGTGTAGCAACAATGTTTCTTCACTTCACCTTTTTTCTCTTTTTCCTGGGTTGAGTTTACACTCTCAAGTCTCTCTTCCTCTCTCTCTACGTGTTAGGTGAAGCCATCCAATAAGACCCACTAGCTATCTCATCTATATTTCATTTGATGAGTATTGAAAGACACTAGGCTCAAATTAAATAGATTAATAAATTAAGTAAAATTACCTAAGGCTAAGAGATTAATTAAGATTAATTTGACTCAAAGTAAATTGTCTCAACATCTTAAAATCTTAATTACACTCAATTAAATTATACTCATGTGTATTAAGCTCTAATTCCTATTCATTATTTTAATTCCAACCTATTAAAATTAGCAATGTGAGGCTTTGGAAAGGCTAAATTAAATTATACTCATGTGTATTAAGCTCTAATTGCATTTGTAACATAGCATAGTTTCATTCTTCCTGACACTTCATTTAAATCAAGAGATTAGAGTGAAGCAACTAATTTTAGGACTATGCATATTTATTATATTTTAATTGTTAATTGAAGTCCCTATGTGACCATCCGTACATTTTCTGAGAAGATTTGATCTAAAATTTCAATTGAGATGAATTTGTCCCATTTGCATGCTTTGTTACAAGTTCAAATCTCTTATTTCAGGGAGATTGTGGTGCAGTTCAATGCTTGTGTGGCTGATGGAATGCAATGGAACCTATTGGTTATGTGCCGGTGTTGGTGGATGAGGACATTGTGCTTTCTGACACTTTTGCAATCTTAATGGTGAGTGGTTGGACCTTTATTGTCCACCCCATTGGATTTGATTTTATTAAAAAATTTCAATGTTTCTAACATGTGCTTAGTAATTTACAGTATTTGGAAGAGAAGTATCCTCAACATCCATTGTTGCCTCGTGATCTTCAAAGAAGAGGCATTAACTACCAGGTATAGCATTGAATCTCTTATTTTCTTGATCAATTGATATGAGTTGTTTATTATTTACAACAACATTTTTTAGCTCTTTTCCATTCACCAGTATAGTATTTATTGGATTCAATGTGTTTGAACCTAAGCATCTCTGGAAAGGCTAGTATTTCACTGCTTGCATTATTTTATTGTGTCAATTTTTCTACGAGTTCACACTAAAATTAGCACACTTTATTTAAACCAATATAGTTACAACTAATATTAGCAAACTTTATTCAACCGAATATAGTAACAAATCAATTTTTATGAGGAATAAGCTAGAAAATTTAGGCCTGGTGAAGAAACGCTAGTTGACTTAAAATTGATTATTTGACAACAGAGTTAACATTATATTGTTATGGAGTTGTACTATATGCATCTTATTACTCTCACAGTTGAAGGTGTTTAAACTAGGAAAATTTAATTAAAATATCCTACAAATGTTGGGTTGCTATATGCTTGCTGAAGGTCTTGTCAATTATATTGGAGGTGATTACTATCTTGGTTATGGTCAATGACATGCCTAAAGAGTCATATACACATCATAAGCTCAAATGTTCTCTTCACAAGCCCACATTTTTTTAGCAAATTTAGTTGAATTGGGCTAACCAGCATGTACGCATGTTAGTTGCTTCAAATGCTAATAGCCTCTCTTTATATAAATCATAATAAGGGTAGAAATCTCTTCTTTCGACAGAATCCGACACCTCATGCATGGGTGTGGTTGCCTCCACGGACACTATGAAAAGTTATTGGCCAAATTAATCACCATGGTAGTCATTTTCCACAAGGATATTCCTCATACCAAGTTCGCTTGATTTTTTTGAATAGGTTACCCATTGTTGTCAAATTGCGAATCAAATCATGAATCATATCGAATCATGAATTGTACGATTCTAAACCATACCAATATAACTATCGTCAAAGTTAAACTTTCAAACGATCTTGTTATTCATTGTGAGGAGTACATGAGATCAAATGGTTCTCAATCACAAAATAATGAACACAGGAATTCTTTGGACTGCTTGGCAACAGAAAATCGTGATCTAAGCTTAGTGGTATCTGTTTGACCCTCTCATCTTTGATGTTCGGTGCTCAAATCCACTTTTGGTATATATGTGATTTTTTGTGATCAAGAAATGCACCTCTTGTGGTATTTTCATTTCTTAGATAAGATAAGGATTTTATTGAAAGATAAGGGAATTCTTGGAGGATGGAGTATAGGTTATAGCAATGCTACTGAAAGTCTGAAAATGGACCTTAGCGGGTCCAACACGTACATGCAACTGTCATTTTACATGGAAAATGATTTCATTAGAACACCCTTGCTCTAGTTGAAGTGCTTTATGTGGCTTTAAGGGAATAACATGTTAAAGTAATAAACTTTAGGTTAGCAGAACTATTCATTCATTCCTTCTACTTTCTCAATTTTTTTTGTTTTTTTTTTTATCCTTTCTGTTCTGATTACTTAACTAATCCTCAATGTATTTATTATTTGTTTATAGGCTGCAAATATTGTTTCCTCAAGCATACACGCGCTTCAGAATATAGGTGTACTGGTGAGTATTGGAGTGAGATCACTGCTTTAAAATTTCTGTTTCATTGCTAAAATTCATATAATGCTATCACAACATTTTTTTTAGCATAGTGATGGTATTTCCCTGCTTTTTAATGTACAGAAGTATATTGGGGAAAAGTTCATCCTGATGAGAAGCTTGTTTGGGTTCAGTATCATATTGGCAAAGGCTTTGCAAGGAAGCTTTACCTAATGAACTACAGATTATGGATTTTTATTTTATTTTTTCATTTAAAGAAATTTGTCATACCAGTTTGAATACACAAGTTGTTGGTGTGTAGCTTGCTAGTGCTGACTACTTGACGTTTCACCTTCTTAACCTGTTGCCTTCAATCATCCAAGCAATACTTTGTTTCCTTGTTCCTATCAAGAGGCAAATGTGTGCAACCCATGGACATCACAGTTTGATCCAAACTCCTTTATGATAATTTGTTTTATAATGTATTTTAATTGTGTTTGCTAGTATAACCATAATTAGCTGGATCATTGTTAAGAAGAAGACTTTATGAAGTGACTGGAACCTTTTCCTCATGCCAATTACTTAATTAATTTATTAGTAATTGATGTTAGCTTACTTTTAAAACATGTCTTTGTTAGGATCATCAAATAAATACATAAAAAGTAAGAAGATATGATCTTGTTATCTATTCAAATCTTCACTTTGTCCTCTACCAAAAACCCTATAATCTAGTAAGCATGGACATGGACACCGATACAACAGTTTTCAAAAAAAATGCGGACATTACGTGGGGACATGAGTAAAATATAATTTTTTTATATTTATCATATGTTATATATATAAATATTTCAGTCAAAGTTAATAAAAATACACAACATAACACGCATTTCCAAAGTTCAAATGAGAATGGATTAATGGGTATAAATTTACATTTTTTTTATAATTATTAGTTCCTAATTATTTTTGTTCAAATTTGTAATGTTTTGTGTCCCTCAAATTTCCAAAGTGTGTCTGAGTTAAATTTTAGTTGATATAATAATCATCATAATAATAATAACTGGACGTGTTTTGACACATGTCAGAAGTGTCTAAAGACGAGTTTGGAGTCCAACAAATGAAAAATGGGCATGTCATTATATACCTTGTTTTAGTATGCCTAATATTGAAAAGATGGAACTTTTTAATACAACCTATGGTCAGTCCAATGGAAACATGTTCTACTTTTTTCTTTTTCTTTTTCAAGCCGGACAACTTATTGCATGCAAGTTAAATTTGAGGCAATTTATATTTTATGCCATGAGGATCTACAAACCATTCAAATGATCTTAGTATTGTATCAAATATAGGGACTTTGCACAGAAGTTCTGGTGCTTAAAAGGATTATACAACGCATTCAATAAGAATGCATCAATTTATTCTGATTGAACATACATTTAGGATTAGCATATTCAATAGGTAATCATCTCCATGAATGTGGGGAGTGGATTGAAAGTGCATCATGGCTTCCTATTGGTTTAAGTTTCAATTACCATAGTTAGGTGAGAATTGATCTTGTACTAAGCATTAGGTAAAAAATCACTGCTGATTTAAATTCATCATCGATAGGAGTTTCTTTTTGTAGAATTCCTCTGAAAAAATCCTAACCTATTTTAACTTTTAGTTGGGAAATTTTCCATTAGAGTTTGGTAATTTTGGGCAAACAGTGACCAAAATTCAAGTTTGCTATGATATGATTAAGGTTGCTTTGGAAATTGAGTGTTGAATTTGAGTTGATTTCTATGTACACACATTGTAGCTCTTGGGAAGCTATTAAAAGATTATGCTAGGAAATATGCCACTGGAGATGAAGTCTGTCTGGTTGTTTTTTCCCTCCCTGCTTCTGTGTTAAGCCTATATGCGTTACTTTTAGTTTAGGGGGAATCCCATTGCAGAGTGTGAATATCTAAGCCTAATGAAATTTTTAAAATATGAAGACCACGCTGTGCTGTGTAACCTGAATAGATAGTTTTTTTTTTTATACCAAACACAGCGTCATTTCGAAACAAATTTCCCAAACTCAAGCCATTGTGAAATTATATACCAAACCAAGTTGTTTTGAAATCATGTTTTCAAAACATGACTTTAAGATAAAAGCGTTTTTTGAGAATATCTCTCTCTT